AGATCGTTCCTTGGTGGCGAGTCTGCTTGGTGGCGAGGTGACTGGATACCTGTCCCTCCACCCAGAGGTACACTGTGTAAATGGGTACCACTCCATTGTCAGTCAGAGAAACCTAATGAAATGTGATTTCGAGGAGTGAAAGTAAACCCAGAAGCTTACAAATTGTAAAATTGGAATAAGTGTGGGCAGGCATGGGGACAGTAGGCTTGTTAAGATTTTAATTCTCATAATTGCTACAACTACAATCTGCCATCATCCACACTTTGCAGCCATCGCCATGTTATTAAGTTAGCACTCATCCCTAGACGAAAAACTTCCCATCATAAAGCATATATGAATTCTCATGATATATTGCTATTATTAAGAGTTGATTGGCTTCTCCAACAGCAATGATACACCAAGTTTGAGTCACACAATTGTTTTGTGGTACTCTGTAGGTATCTTCTCAAGCCTGATCTTATGAGACGGTCTGACAGGCAGTTTGATCCATTCACTGAATCAGTCATTGATGGAATGGTGGCTGCTTCAGTTGTTGTTAAGGTATTTATCATGAGGGGTAATGTTTAGGGTGATTTGGGTTGGGGGGTGGTGGGTGCCACAATGATGAACTTAATCTGTGGATAAAGTATACTCAGCCTTTGAACGAATGATGCCTGAAGGGTAACTTGACATGAACCAACATCCCTTAGAGGTAAATAAATAAGCACCACAGGATATCCAAGCTTTTTCATGCTTCAGACATTGGGGTGAGCTTCAGTGGCACTTGAATGATTAAAAACATTTCTGATATTACATGGTACTTTTTTAGGTGATATCAGGGCAGTTCTTGTCAGATAAGAGGATAAGCACGTGTGTTGAAGTGGATATGTATGGCCTTCCTACTGATACACTGCGGAAGAAGTACAAGACAAAATTTGTACCAAACAATGGCATGGATCCAGTTTATGAAGAGGATTCATTTGAATTCAGACGGGTAAAATTATTGCATTTGAAAGAAATTTGGATCATCTTTTAGTGGTTCCCTCAGAAAGGGGAGGTTTTTTAATGAGGGCAGTTATAACAAAGGTTATACAGAGGAACACTTTTTCATGGAACATCCTTGAGACCAGGAGAAATGTCCCCTTTTTGGTGATGTCCCTGAAGATAATAGATACTAAGGCTGCAGTGTAGAATGTTATTTGGTGGCATCCTTGAGACCCCTGTGAATAGATGTTCCTTTTCAAGAAGATAACAGATACAAAGGTTATCTGATATAACAGTCATTCAGGGGCCACTCCTGGGACTAGAAAAGGTCTCTTCTGATTGGAAGTGCCCAGGAAAAGGAAGTAACAGATACGCAGGTTACACAGTGGAACCTGGATACAGGGCCATATTGGGGACAGTAGATAGCACCCTTTGAGTATAGTACCTGGGTAGTCCAGGTCTGTTGTACTTCTTTCCTTTTGTTCAACAATAAGGATACAAATGAATACAAAAACGATCTTTGCTGTAATGAACACTACTTATTGTAAGCAGTAGTGAAAATAAGTCCTGGAAAAGAATTCAGGCCTGTATAGGATTTGGAAACAATACAATTTTTAAATCATTCTACATTATAAGTTGATACGATGGTTTCAATTTACTATCAATTTGTTTTTTTGCTGTAGGTTGTGTTTCCAGAACTTGCACTTTTGAGATTCGGTGTTGTAGATGACAATGATAAACTGATTGCCCAGAGAGTTATTCCATTAGATGGTTTACAGTCAGGTAAGAGCTTCATGTCATAAGGCCAGTAGTAGGGAAGATTCAGTCTGGTGGTTGATGTGATCTTTTTGTTAAGTAAAATGAATCAAAGCAGTAAGTTTCTAAAGATACTGTGGTGCTGGGTCAGTCGGGGAGTATGTAACAAGATATTTCAGTGTTATCAACTGAGTTGATAATGTAAATTGGCCTCCATAAAGAGTTTCAAAGCTGACATTTGGAGCATTAGCCTTTCGTTAGAGCAAATGGCAAAGGGCTAAAGCTCCAAACATCAGCTTTGAAACTCTTTACAATAACTACTTAAGATATTAACTTATATCAAACCCCCACCTCCAGTTGAAACTTATCCCAGTTTCTTTAAAATGAGGCATTTGGGAGTATCACTACTTTCCTCACCCAGCCCCCTGGATAGGATGCTAGTCCATCACAATATTACCCTCCTGCATTTCATCAGGTTTCCCAGACAATTGCTGGCACCTATTTATACTCCTGGGTGGAGAGAGACACTGTAAAAGAGAAGTGTTTTGCCCTAGAACACAACAGTTTGACTTGACCGGTTGTGGCACTCAGATAACTTGACCTGAGGGGTCCAGCATAGTAACCATTAGGCCAACCCTTTAACTTTGATCTGTTCAATTGCTTGAGTCACAAATCAGTTTGAAATTATGTTTGGGAAACCATCAGTAAAACTTTTCAGTGTTTGCTATTTTCAATGATACTCACAGCTATTTTCCTTTTTTTTGGTAGGATTTCGCCACATTTCCTTGAGAACAGAGAACAACATGCCATTACCATTAGCAACATTGTTTTGTCAAATTTCCCTCAAGACATACATTCCTGAGAGATATACAGGTTTGTTATCAACCCATTAACCCTAAGAGTGACTAATATCTAATTTCTCTTTACAATATCACCCCTGAATCATGCAGTAAGGTTATGAGAATGATGAAAATTATCAGCAGCTAAAGAAGCTGTTGATTATTACACAAATTCTCCTTGTCCGTGCCATAGGGAATGTATAGGGAATAGTATGAAGAATACCTCTTAATTATTGATGTTAGGTTTTTAATCAGATAGTGTTAGCTATGCTTTGTGTGGATTGCATTGTACCATTGTCTCAGACTCTGTAAATTGCACAAGGAAGCTATGAAAATTGTACCTGTTAGTGATCTCTAACTAAATTTTGTGAAAAGTTATATGTTCTCTTGTGTGCTGTCCTAGTAATTCAAAGGCTTTCTCATGGTTGATTTTTTTGTCCCAACAATAGCCATTGTTGATGAACTATCAGAGCCAATAAAGTACCAGTCTGCCGTGGACAAGAGAGCTGCTCAAATGGTTGTGTTTGGCATCGATGAGGTAACGTTTTCATTGCTTGTCCAAGTACTCTCTGCTGTAGCTGCCACAAGCAATGGGCAGATGATAACCACCTTTAACCCCGAAGAGTTACTTGCATCTAATTTCTTTTAACAATATCATCTATGAATCAAACATTTTAAAGCTCACTAGAACAAAAGAAATGATCACCTATTAGAGGAACTCTTGATTGTTAAACAAATTCTCCTTGTTAGCACCTTCAGAAATGTATAGAGAACTGTATGGAGAATATGAATATTGATGTTAAGGTGTAAAGAGTTTAACTTGATTAGGGAAAATGGAAGGTTTATCCTTATCTATGCCAGTTATCTGTGAACTCACCCTCCCCAAAAATGACCACAGATTTTATTTACAAATTTTTTTCGAAAATCTTGCTTCAAATCAAGGAAGTATTCCTAGGTTAAAAAAATTCCTTAAATCCCTCTACTTGTGGGCCGTGCATTAGCTTTACTAGGAGGATTTACGTGCTGGGACATCAACAGCAATGTTAGTATTTGCCGATAGAATAAGGACAATATTTTACCCTTTCACTTCTGAGGTTCAAGTCATCCTTTTCCTCAGTGCGTGCTGTAAGATTTCTGTTTGTGCATGGAAGGTGAATCAATGCGATAAGCTTATATCCTCCAGTTCATGACTTGATTTATTCTAACTTGTTACCCTGTGTATCCATAATATGCTGATAATGTAAGGAGAAAGTATGTCTCGATCACTCCTTAGAGTAAGGGGGGTGGGGCAGGGAATTGTAAGAAAAGTAATTTTTTGCTTTATAACAAGTTATATAAATCTTTGTGTTTGTTAATATCATCCTCAACTGTATCTGGATTTTGTTTGTTTTAATTGATAATAATTTAAGGTATTTTCATATATTTATCTGCAGGATGAAGACCCCCACAGTAATTTTGCCTCATTTTTAAAGTTTTCGCCTTCATCTAATTCCTTATCAAGAATAAAGAATGCGGCTTCCTTGACTTCCATCAGTACTGCTGGTGGAATTTCACCTGCTCCAGCTCGACCTCGGGAATCTGTTGTGACACTGAATTATGGTGGTGCAAGATCCTCATCAGAACTTACCCTTATCGAGAGTAATGTTCCAAAGAAACGTAAGTTAATAAGTCTCAGGTATTTCTGCTAGACTACCTAAACTTGCTGTTTCAGCAAAACTATCCTCTAACTGGTTTTCATTAGGGTACCACGGACAGTTTCTCAGTGCCCACAAGGCACCAGAGAATGTGGATTTTAGTATATATTATCTAAAGTACACCAGCAAAATCCTGATGGACTGAAATAATTTTGTTCATTCAGACTGGAGAATGTTTCCCATGTTTCTTTATGCCATTGGCAAGCAACCATGTATCTTGATGGAAACCCTGTGATCTTGAAATAGTTAAATCTCTTTTAAAAAAATTAAAATACAGTAAGGAAGAAAAAGCTTAACCCTTTAATTTCCACTAGTGACCAAAACAGAATTTCTCCTTACAATATCAATACAATATTAAGCAGACAAGAGATGAGAATAAAGAAATAGTAATATCAATGAGGGATTATTAGTTGATCCAATACCAAATTCTCCAAATTTACAT